CGAATGTTTAGATACAAGTCCAATCAAATTTTCGTGTTTTTATCTAAGACTAGACGTTTCGTGTAGTTTTACGGGCTTAGTTTATTGCCATAGCATTATATTACATAGGCTTTCTCAACTCAATAGTTTCTATCAAGCTAAAAAGTTTTTTTTTAATTCGACTTCTAGGAGTTCTAAAGCGTCGCGCCTTTTATCTCTCTCAATCTCACAAAACAAAATCTTCACCTTTAATATAATTATATAAATAATTTATATAAAATATAGCATAAATTTAATATATAAAATATAGCATCTAAGATTTAAAATTAAAAGGGCTGGCTGGCAAGATTTAGAATAAAAACTGTTCCATTGACGCATTTAAAAAAAGAAAATATTTAAATAAATTACAGCGACATCAAAGGCCAAAACACAAAAGCATACCACATCGAACACAGATTAAAAAATAAAAAGCGCAATTCGTTTATTTTTTAATTCCCAAACACGAGACTGTGCAGGCGGTGGTATCCTCATCCTGCCTGTCATACGCGAATGCCTACTTAACGGATACGTTTAATCTGACAGGTCGTTGCGTAGGATGTTTTGACAGCAAGGCAATTACCTGCCACTTTGTTGGCGGGCAGAAACACTGTTCACATCCTGCGCAGTGCTGTGAACCCACTATCCAGTCATGGGACCGTTAAATGCTGAAGTACGTTTTAGGCTTAAGTGGATGAATGGCATAATATAATACAATTAAGGAAAATAGTGTCACTGTCTTAATAAGTAAAGGTACACTTCGGAGCACATATTAAAAAAAGACTTTTTAGCTGTGCAATTCTACAAACTTTTTATGAGCCATTTTTTACGTGTTAAAGGGGAAAGGGGCAGCCTGGTCAAGTGACTACCGCCGCCGATAGACACCTGCAACCGAAAAGACACAACGGCGTTGCCGCCTTTTGAGTGCCTTAGGCCCGAGAGGAGTGCAGCGGAGAGGATTTTTTTAAGCACTCAAAAATAAACTTTAAAATAATTGTTGTAAGGTGCATACACAAGGTTCGGGGCCGTGCAAACATTTTATGTCATATTGAAACATTACAATGTTCGAGTGTCTTAAGAAAATTCTCTCCGCTGCGCTTCTTTCGGTCTGCGCTGGCCTCTAGAGTTAGAAAGAGGAAGTTGGGCATTCGGTAACCTCACTCACTGTTTAAAAAGCAACAAAATAATTGGTTTAAATCAGTTTTCTATGAGGCCGTGTTCTTACCCTGCGGTCGAGACGATACATATGTGAAACAGCAGGACTCTCCTCCGGTAGTCCTGTTTCCTGTTTGAGATTTACGATTTACCTTCATCATCATTGGTTTTTCGCGAATTATTTCATTTATTTAATACCAATGTGCGAACATTTGCACGATTGGAGTAGTGGTTCAGGCGGTCACTTCGTCGCTTACTACTACGCTGAGTGTTGTGGGTCTTTTCCCCACATGGGACGACACTTTGCGTTATCCACAAATTGTTGTTCTGAGTCTGGGTGCTCTTTGTGTCCGTCTCATGTATGTTTGTAAAGTCCCCCGCGACACAGGAAATAGTCCTAAGGCGGATTTGTCTTTTTATGAAAAAGAAAAACAAAATAAATGTTGTAAGGTTTCCGTAAAGAAAATGTTACATAAAAATATTAGGTATCTTACAGTTCAAAAGATAAATCTTATCTAAACTACAAAACAGTCATTCAAAACTATAAACAGGACAGTTTTATGACCGAAGCAATTAATGTTATATCTCATAGTTATAGCGGAATTACATGAACACACTCAAGTGAATTTCGTAAATATATTCAGTTACATTTTATTGCGGCAATTTAAAAAGAAAACGACAGCCAAGGTTAAGCCAACAGTCAACCTAATTTGAGGTAACTTTTGTGCATTACTCTTTATCACGTTCTTTATTTTCAACTAGCTGCGTCTGCGCCTCTAAAAAGGAATAAATTTTCTCCGACCTTGCAACATTTATCATTGATGCTCTTTTCCTATTGTTCGTAGAATTATGTTATATAGCCTTCCTCAATAAATGGCATATCCAGCACTAAAATTCAAGCATTCAATTTTCAATTCGAACCAGTAGTTCCTGAGATTAGCGCTTCAAACCAAACAAACAAAAAAAAACTCTTCAACTTAAAATATTAGTATAGATGTTAACATTTCTCTCATTTTAATGAATACTGATCTCTTATCGTAACCCTCATTTGCAAAGGGCGGGAACAGGGACTAGTGAGAGAACCAAGAAACAATACTACTTTAAAAATTGCCTCAGTAGCGTGGATTAAAGACAGTACATCACCAAATTCAGAGACTAGGCGGAATTCGTGTCTCAGGCGTGTCTCTCGAGTAGAATGGTCTTAGTAGAAAGATACTATCACTCTCTCGAGTAAGTTGAGAATAGTGAATTTACACGCGGGATAATGAAACGCCGATCGCACGCGGCCTTACCTCGATATCTACGAATATCCTAACGCTAACGCTCCATATTAATAGAAAATACAGTGATTCAGACCCGCCAAAGGGCCAGCTTATTTAGGAAAACGTATGCCTTTGTAAAACTTATTTAAGCACGATTTGAAATTACAAACTATTCATTTAGAATTTAATTATACAGCTGCTTGTGCTGACTACATCCTTTTTCAACATAACAAATTTATTCATTGACTAGCTGGCCCGCGATTTCGTTCGCCTTAGCGGGTGTGATTTCTGGTCCGGACAAAATTTTTAATTGTTTTTCTGAGAGGAAAAATAGCCTAAGTTACTCCTTATATAGACAGCTACCTGGTAGTAAAATGTTGCCACGATTTGACCCCCCCCCCCCTCCCCCTCCTAGATCTCTAGATTTCTAGAAACTCTAGAGTCTATTGATTTTGAGTAATCATAACAGTTGAGCCAGAGGTTGTGCATTCGATTCCCATTTTTCTGTCCAAAATTTCGAAATCTTACGAGCTGGGTCATTGATATAAAACATATGACTAAGAATAAAAGCAGGTAAACAGATTAATTAAAATACTGAACTTGTTAAGAAATAATGTTGAATATGATTATTCACAATATTTTATTATTTACCATGCCTACTTATTTCATCTATGTACAATGAAATTTGAAAATAAATACAAAATCATTTTTACACATACAAATGCTATACATATATTAATACACTTATATAATATAATTAATACACATATACATATATTAATACATAATTCATTCATATTTATATATAACGCAATGGATAACATAAATGAAACAAAGTCGCTGAACTTAAAGTGATACGCTTTTAATAAAACGCTTAAAAAACCTCAAACATTTATAGTAAAATATCTAATTATTGAATACTATCTAATTATTACACCAGCGACAATGCATTGTCTATTACTAGGCATGTCTGACTTGTACCTACAGATTAACTGTGTTGCAGAAAATATGGTAACAGTCAGCGATACAAGGATATAAGAAAGAGTAGAATGCAAGAAGAAATGAAAATATAGATCCCATCCAAAAAAAATTTTTAAAGAAGGAAAGATCATAAGTGAGTGTTGATTCATAATGAGTGTATATTCACATGAACATTATAGACCTGTAGATTAAATGGAATACAAGTAAAAAAAATCTTTACAGAATATTTCCAACTAAGTATAGCATATGAATGGGAATGTTGGTGGGCATCAATGAGAGCTCTGTATTACTGTGAGACATGCAACCCAGTGTTACATGTTAATGTGTCAGTAAACTTTGTTATGTCAGTACTCATTACTGGCTGGTGAAACAGCATAACATTAGATGCTTTATAACAAAATGAAGGGGATTTTTAAATTAAATTGATTCTTAAAAAAAAGACATCTTTTAGTGACATCAGTGAAGAAGTGACATCTTTCAAGTTTGCTAGCTGTGACAGAGATATACAGATTAAAAATAATCTTGAATATAGTTTTTATGTCAGTATAAAATAATATCTGTCATCAAGTAATATTATTTCCTAATTCATTTATATTCATAAATTTTTATCTATTAGTAGTAACTTCAACAACAGGTGTGCTGTGCTACAAGAAGATCATTTAGAAATTTACATTTATTGATATATACATACTCTTGATAGACTAGATTTTTTTAGTTTTGTAACATATTTTTTGTCATGATGGTACTTTTTAAGAGTAAAAGATTTATTATTAGATAATAGGAAGTTACATCATGAAGACCTGACATGAATAGGACCAACAGAAAAAAAATAGCTTCAGGTAAATATATATATATGTATTATAAACAATTAATGTTTTTAAATATTTCATAACTTTAGGACCCAATTGAGCTAGAATATAGTAACAAATTGATAAAGACAGAATTAATATTTCTACTCCAGAAATCTATTTTTTAGTCACATCACATCAACAGCCTAATAGTCTACTGCTGGACATAGGTCTCTCCTTAATAGCCAGAAATAAATATTTTTATTAAAAAAAAACTGTATTTATTTTTAAAACTTTTTTTTTTCTATTTTTCAATCAAATTAAATCAAACAAATATTAAATCAAGAATTTGTATGGTTAGATAAAAACAACTACTATAAATGAGGTCCTAATGATCTAATCATTAAGTTAAAGTAATTACTAACTACTACTCAAATTAATATTCAAAACCGGTATTATTATTATTATTTTTATAAAAAATACATATTTCACAGTACATTAGGGTGATTGAATAAAATTTTCATATTTGTGAAAAATTTTCATGAGAATAAGAGAGGTTTAAAAACTACAGTTTTATCATAAATTGTAAGCTTAATTTCCATAGTATTTACACTTCATTAAATAGACACACATGTTATATTATACTTTTTGCCATATAAACAATGTCGTTTTATCAGCTTATCACATTGTCAACATAACATAAAACACAGTTTTAACCGAATAATTACATAAATAAGTTGATGGTATGTATTATACGAATGAATATTTACATTCCAGACAAATAATCAAAGAAACTCACCACAAAATAGAACGACGAAATCCAAAATGATTTTTCGCATGATAAACTTTGTATCTTTGCAGTCTATTGTAATGGTATTGGTGCGAGAGTTAGTTTTACGATCGTTCCTATCCATTTTAACTTATTAGTTATCAAATTGCAACAACAAAATAATAAAAACACTGCCACTACAACTCCGATAGTATTACGAAATACTGACAAAACGTTGAACTGAAATTTGACAATCAACGCACGACCAATACCGCGCGCATGCGCTCGCAGACTAAGTGCGTTCAGAAACAAACACTGCGTTCGTGGGGCTCGCTACAGTCGCTACTCTATTCACGCATGTCGTTTATTGTTGATATTGACAAGAGCCGGCAACCGGCAACGAGTTCGGATAAGGTTACCTACTTGTTTTTTTTTAGTTTATTGTTTTTTTTTTTTAGCTGTTTCTGAATAATTTTTTGTTGTTTATTTTGACGAAAATGCTTAACTAAAACTGGGCATTATCTATAATAATATAATATTATAAACAGGTAAAGGTTTGTATGTTCAGGGTAATCTTCGGTATATTATCCCTGAGTGGTCTGAATGCTATAAACTACTACGGAGCTACTACGGAGCTATTGATTCGTTTGATAATGGATTAAAAATATGAAGTGTCACCACCCCTATTCATGGTGATGATAATATTGATATTGACTTATAAAGTTTAGAGACCTTTTATGAAATTTCGCAATTTAGTAGCCGATATCGAACCCAAAACATATTTAAAAGTTTCACTTTGTCCGACAGACCCATCGCCGTGACGAGTAGGGTCATCATTGTGTTTCTAATAAAATAAAAGGTATTTACCTACATAGCGTGTTTTTTGTTATTTTGTTTTTTATAGTTTAGTTAGTTACTTAAATTTGCAATTGAAAAAGTGGGCGTTTTGCTCATCACTAAGGTGGTCATTGTAAAAGGTTTAAAGTTTTTCTAAAGTAAGGTTTTGGTATTTCACAAAAGGTACACAGCCTCGAAAAATACCACACTCAAATTCCAAAGTACTTATGCCAAGTCAAAATCAGTACTAGTAATGGATAGGAGTTAGATTCTAACTTTAAATCCTCCCGTTATCTATCGACCTTGGCATGGATGAAGCCATATAATATTCAATTTCTAAAATAAATTGATTATATTTCATGCCTGAACTTAATAACGCATGAATTACTCTTCTAGTATAATGTTCCCGAACGAAGATTGGATGCGACAAAAGAGTCTTTAAAAACTTTTAATCTTTTTTTTGTAAAGTGAAGGAATGCCGGCACCGTGTAGCAATCGGTAGCTACACAACACCTGTGGTTCTTATTATTATTTAAGATGGTGTATACTATATTTTATGTCTATTTAGGTAAGCTATTAATTTAAACATTAATTTAATTTGAACCGATTGAGGTACATTATAGTCTCTGTAAGTCTTATTAGGGCCTCTTATTAAAAGAAAAGGCACACATCACGAGGTTTATCGCAGAAAATAAGTTGAAACAGACGAAATAGAGTTAGATATTCTTTTTATAATAATATTAAACACACTATGACTGCTCATGGAAGCGAAAACTAAATCTACTAATGCGTGTAATGAATGACAAAAAAATAGTGCAGATGAGGCTGAATTCTGAAACAATTATTTTTTTTCAGAATGAAGTTTAGTACATCTTTTCATATTACATAATATGTATTATTTAAACCACAATAAGTATTTCTTTAAGTGTGTCTATGCTTACTTGACTGAAAAGGCTTTTTGGGCTGCAGCCCAGGGCCCCGAGGGTACAGAGGGCCCCCAACCGAACTGGAAACAATAGACAATATTGTCAACATTTTTTTTTATCTAGAATTTTAAAAAACCCATCACAAGGTTGGCAACACTGCGATCAATCCACCCGTGTCTCTATCAAACGGAACGGGGAATTCCCTGTCGCTTGTTTTCGGTCGGTGGAATTTGCAAGACAAAAATTAAGAACATATAGATCTGGAGAGTGGACGTAATATTATTTATTATTATCCAAATGACGTAGACGAACATATAGTGAATGAGTGCATTCAGTTAAAATCTTACTTACTGCAGTCTAAGACAGAGTCTTACACCTCTTGCAATGAAATTTTTTGGCTAATTTATGAAAAGAAACTTGTTGATGTTTTCCCAAACCAGGATGTCGTATATAGAAAACAAATACAGGACAACAATGTCGAACTATCGACTAAATCATTTACCAGTTCTTTCCATAAATTGCGATTTAACAAAGGACTTACAGTGCGATGACCAAATAAAAGAATTTGCAGTACAAAAATGCTGAAAGGTTGCTTTATAATTTATATAACATAACCATTCATAACCTGTCAATTTATTTAGCAATAAATAATGTTTTAATAATTAAATAAAATATTTTGTTTTTACTATTTTCTTCCTGTACTTAACATATATTATATATACCTACATCACTACAGAAAACAGTTTTTTTACAAAATGGCAATTGGTTGGGAATGGCAATTAGGTAGGGTCCCTAAGCAGTATTAGCCCAGGGCCCCACAAATTCAAGCTCCGCCCCTGCTTGACTCGGGTGCATCAACCTGGCTCATGAAACACAGAAATGAATGATGCAACCATAACTCATGTTATATGTTTTTAAAACATTACCATGTTCAATGAATGGGACCAACAGTGATGATTTAGATTAAAAGCTCATAATTTAAATGAAAAAATATAATGTTATCAATTAATGTAAATATTAGTTATTATTAGATATTAAAAAGTTTAAAATGAGTTTGTGAGCCTTGGTGATAAAGTTCGAAGTGTATTGACTATCAATGGTTTGAAATTGAAGTTTCAGGTTCAATGTTATATTATTAATTTAATTCATTTATATACAGTAATGTCTGATTTTTTAAATGCATGTTTAATTGTATCATAGAGCTAGTGTATAGAAATACTAGATTAATATCTAATTAATTCTAGAAAATTCATAAAATGCCATCCTGTGTATTCCGAAAGCGCACCAATTACGACAAAAAGGTTAATAAAGACAAAGAAATATCATACCACAGGTAAGTGTATGTTTCGTTCTAAAATGCATTAATAGATGTATTACGGAGCAAATGTTTTGTGCGTGCAGTGTGAATATAACGTATCTTCATTAAATTATCATCCTCTCAATTCCTTTTCATCAAATTCGATTTTTTAAGTTGTTTTTTGTCATAGCAAAGGGGGCAAACGAGCAGATAGGTCTCAAGCAACTCAAGAGTCACAAGTAGACTGGGGTAAAATCACAGTGAACTGTGAATGACCGGTGATTTATCATTCGATTTTTTCGTACGCAGGTTAGGGTTACTACTTACTCACGAATTGTTGCCAATAAGCTATTTTCAGACGATGTAAAGACCCTATTTCGCCTATTTAACAGTAAATCTAGTAATTATTTTATTGTATATAGCTACCATTCCCTACATAATAATTGAAGAAATACTAATAGATTGACTGTTAAATAGCGTCTAACCTATCTACCTATCAACCCTAATCTACGTACGCAAAAATCGAATGATAAATCACAGTTCAATTAATTTTGTCCCAAGTCTAGTCAAAAGTGCTTTGTCGTCCTTTAAGGCCCCCCTTCCCTCAAATGAAGGGGCCTCACTCAGTAAAAACCAATGAAAGATTTACTTCACGCCAGTTTTCTTTGAGGCCTGAAGTTGTTCATATAGATAGTTACATAATTTCATAGAATTACTTGTATTATTCATCTTCTGGGAACTATTTAGTGAATTATAAATATTAATGAGTTTAAACGCGGCAGACATATTGCACAAATGTTTTTGCTTTAGAGTAATAAGTATCTAAATACTTAGCTATCGTAACGGATTTTTATTAAACTACAAATTAGTTAACAGTTCTATAGAAATATTATCAAAATGAATGGTCATCAGTAATCATTACAGGATAGATAATGACGCTAAGAGGTACAGTAATAGCTACGTTTGCTATCTTTGCACATGACAAAAGAAACGGCAAAGTGCATATAAATTCTCACACAAAGGATGCCGCACTAAGGTACAAAAGTAAACACAATATACGTAAAGTAAAGACAATATACGAGTATATGGAAATACGGAATATTTCAATCCAAACAGAAACTTTTTCAAGAAGGCTGTCACTGATACGGTGTTTTTTAAATATAAAAAAAACCTATTTTGCATATTTATTTTAAGCACAGAGCTATGCAATTGAAACTTTATATATTTATCAAGTCCATTATTGACATCGTATCCCGAGAAATTTGGTTATGTCATGAGGGTTCAAAAAACAACGAAGCGCTTCAAGAAAAGGTAGGCCCTTGCGCTGCGCTTGGCTCGTCTTGGCGTCAGATTGTAATCATGTAACCATAGGGCCCATTGACAGCCAACGGACATATATCGGAGGCTTAATAACCATAATAACCTTACACACATGACAAACGGTCGTCTGATCCCGAGCTGGGCAGAGCCTGTATTATTGACACTATGGTAACTAAAGTGCATACCTACTTAAATATTTCTAAATACCTACAAAGATACCATAAATAAATTACACCCACCACAATTATTTGTCCTGGGTGGGAATCGAACCCACGACCTTTGGTTTGGTGGCTAATCACTAGACAAACAGGTCCTGTATTACAATAGGGACGTCATAATGGTGATCTGTTGCCACTCTTTAGGTAAGCAAAGCACAAAGCTTTTCCATGAAGAACCATTACTTAGTATTAGAGGTTAAAGTATGAAATTGCCGGCTTGTATTGCAAAATTTAAACTCGTTTTTTTCTAAGATGTAACATATTTATTTTATCAAAATAATACTATAATAAATACATTGCTGCACATTAAACGGAAGTGCATTTATGTCTTTACGACAGAACTTTGGGGATTTAGATTCTACAAACTGTGTAAAAGCATTTTGTACTGCCTCCTGGGAAGAATTTTTTTAATCACGTAGAAAATTTTACAAATCACGAAAAAAATGGTAGTCCGTATGAGCAAGATTTCTAATTGCAGCTTCGGTAGAGTTACAACGGTTTCTCGTGCAGTGTGAGGTTTTGTGTTATCATGGAGCAATAATAGTGA